GAACCCGGGGGGAGCCGCGGGGGGCCTGCCCCCCACCCCGCCAGCCCCCCACAGCCCCCCGCCCGCCCGGCCCCCCAGGTCGCAGCCCTGTCCCTCCCAGCAGCCACATCCCACAAGACGACGCTTTGAGATCTGGGTTTTGCCAAGCAGCAAAAGCAGTTTCTCAGCGAATGAGGCCCCACGGCCACGAGTGGTGTGGACTCTCTGATGTCTCGTAAAGGGTTGGGCACACCCTGCATACTTCCCCTGGAGAGTAGCGATGGGCTCGCTCGCTCATAGCCAGCTGTCACCGTACCTAGAGAAACTCGATACCCTTGAGATGTCCCAGTCCAGAAGTAAACACCTGGCCTGGCCAGCGAAGCCCTGGCAGCCCCTGGCCACACCGCCCCAGGGCAGAGCAGCCCACGGGAGCCCTCCTCCACCAGACCCCACCAGCTGCACCTTGGAAAAAGGCCTCTGCACCCCATATCCCCACTGGCACTTTGGCAGTTCACAAGCACTGAGCGAGGCTGGAGGGATGCGGACATCCACCACGTACCCAGTGATGAGACACCCCAGAGCCTTCTCCATGCTGCAACCACCGCTTGCATCTCCCTCCCTCCCAAATCCTTCCTCTCCCTCCTCCTCCTCCCTCAGCAAAATAACGCCTGCAGCCGCGGAGGTGCCCAGGCACATCACCAAGTCCTGCTCCAGACAGAGCATCCCCACGGATTGTAGTCCCAGCCTGCGGGATGCCAGCAGGGTTGGGGGGAAACAAACCTCCACGGAGGGGCCCTGCGATTCGGGAGCAGGCTGGGTCAGTGCAGCAGTGGGCACGGGGCGGGCTGGGGGAGTGCAGGGGTCCCTCCTGGCCGGGCTGCTGGAGCCAGGCAAGTGCTGGCCCACAGCCCACAGCACGGCCCACCCGGCCGCCGGTGGGCGATGCAAGCCCATCTCTGACGCATATCCCTTCCTTTGGGTGGCGGTTTTTGTTTTTCCCTTCCCCAGGAGCTCTGATAAACATTTCCGAGCCGGCTGATATCCGGGCCAGTGCTGACCCTTGCGATGCCGGGAGCAGCCGCAGCATCAGCCATCCCAGTCCTCACCTGGACCCTGGCACACCAGAGCTGCTTCCTACGGCCAGGCACCAAGACACCGGCAAGCCAGCCTGGCTGGTGAAGTTGGAGCCAAAAGGGACTCCCCCGGCATCCCAGACCCCCCTCACAGCAAGCCAGCATCAGGCAGGCTCAGCCCTCCTGGCCCCCCTACCCAGAAAGCATGTGGACCCCAAAAGAGGGGAGCAAGGCACCCTACTCCCTCCAGCCCCCAGGAAGGGGGTCCCCCACCAAAACCACACTGCAGGCTGGAAACGCGGTTGCCAAAGAGGATGGTGACTCAGTGGCCAGAACGGCGTCCCACGGGACAACACTGGGGTGGCACCAATGCAAGCTCAGCCCACGTCACCCCAGAGGGAACCTCATGGGGTCCCACGTCACCCCATGGGGGACCTCTTCCTCCCTAGCAAGCTCGCCTGAGCTTTGTGCCACCCACGTCCCAGCTGGGCTGCGCATCACCTCCCCATGCACCCCACAGCTCTCTGCTCACCCCGAGACCCTGCCCCAGACAAGGGGGGATCCCAGGGACAGCCACAGGCCACAGCAACCTCCTCTCCTAGCTGGCCCCAAAGCCCTTCCCCTGCTTGCCAACCCCTCCAGCCCTGCCGCAGCCACTAAGCCCTGCCAAAGCCCCTCTTAGCCATGGTGTGGGGCAGAGGGGGAGCCCTGCTCTGGCACCCCACAGCAGAAGGCACTTTAAGGGGACCGGTTGGGGCCACCAAGTTGGGGACATCGGGGAAGGTTTTCCCCTCTCCAGCGCCCCTGTTCCCCACTTCCCGGTGGGACCAGCCACAGCATCCTTCCCCCCTGCCAGCCATAAAGGACTATAGGGTCCGGGCTCAGCGAGTGCCCCTCCGGCCCACCCCCTGCCCTGCACAGGGGCCAGGTCCCCCCTGCCCACACCACACGCTGCCTGCTCCTGCTCTCACATTTCTCGCAGCTCTGGCAAATCTCCTGTTTATGCAACAAGTCCCCGGCGGGAGGACGGCATGTTTCCATCCGCGCCCGCTCCCCCCTCGCCCCAGCTCCACCCTGCCCGGCACAGCCCCGGTGTGCGAGGCGCAGGGCAGCCGCGCAGAGCCCTGGCCCCCCAGCACGGGGGTCCCAGGGAGGGGGGAGCACCCCAGCACCACGCAGCCCCTCTCTGCCCCCACCAGCACTCAGGGGCTCTGCTGTTTCTGGGGTTTCTCCCCTCGGGTAGGGGTAACCGGCGGCTGTGCCGAAGGGCCGGGGAACGGCTTGGCTGGTGGTTCAGGGTGAGTCAGGCTGGGCTGATGCCGGGGCACAGAGGTCTCGCCGCTCCCAGGCTTCTCTCTGCACATCCCCAGCCTGCCCCACAGCTAGGCCAGGGACTGTCACCATGCCATCCCCTCTATGCCAGGATGCCTGGCAGTGCCAGTGCCAGCATAGAGGCCACCGGCCTGCCCTGCCCCTGCATTGCCCAAGAGATGCTGGTGGTACCCGGGGAGGGTACTGCACAGCAAAGAGCCACCACCATGCCAGGGATGTCCCCCAAGCTGGGATGGACCCCATCCCCTCTGTCTCCCCCCGGGTATGTCCCCGGGGAGCTGCCCTGTGGCCCATCCCCGCCAGGAAGGCGGCAGCAGGGCCAGGACAGAGGTCACCCAGTGCACCCAGCCCTGCAGATCGGGGCTGTGATACCACAGGGGACACCAGCCACTCCACCCCGCAGTGGCCCCGGGGTCAGTCTGCACCCCGAGACTCACGGCATGGCCAGGAGGGTGACAGCCCCCAGCAGCCCGCGGC